ACAGCTTCCGGCATGAAGACAGCCCTCAGGTAACAGAGATCCTTTCTGACATTTTTCATGAGTGGTTATTACAAACATGTCAATCATCATTTCACTTCTCCATTTTTTATTTAAAAATGATTTTCATTGAAAGAATATTGTATTGAACACAGAAAATTTAGAATATGGATATTAATAAAATTAAAAACTGTTTCTACCACCTCAAGAGAATTGCTGTGAATGCCTTGGTACAATGTTGTTCAGACTTTTTTTGATATATACACATGAATATGTTTACCCATTCATTTCCACAGAATAACTTGTCTAAGGACAGAAAGGAGAAGAAGACCCTTAGAAACGATCAAGTCAGATACTTGAACAAACTTTTAAAAATCACACGTTCACAGGACTAACTGTAAGTTTTCCATTGAAAAATTACAAATCAACAGTACATTAATAAGGGGAATTTTTTCTTCAAAAAGGAAAAAAAATCTAGCTCTTTGTATTAGTTATCTATTACGGCATGACAAAGTGTCTCATCGCCTCCCAGACATAACAAAACAAAGTCTTAAAAACGGCCTTGCCCCTGCAGATGTGTCTGTGCTCTCTGAACACCTCATCAAAATTCTCTTCTCCCTCTCTTTTTTTAAATTGTGGTAAGAACAGTTATGAGATCTCCTCTCAACAAATTTGTGAGTGTACAATGCAGTATTGTTAACAATGGGTGCAGTGTTGTACAGCAGGTCTCTAGAATTTATTCGTCTTGCATGACTGAAACCTTATACCCATTCAACAGCAGCTCCCTGTTGCCCCTATTCTCGCCCCCTGGCCCGGCAACCCCCTTTCTACTATCTGTTTCCTTGAGTTGACGACTTTGACTACTTTGGAGACCTCGTGTAAATGGAATTATGCAGTATGTCTTTCTGCCACTGCTGATTTCACTTACCATAATATCCTCCTGTTTCCTCTGTGGTTGTAGTGCATGGAAAGATTTTCTTTTTCTTTTTTCTTTTATTTTTTTATTTTGAAGATGGTAGCTTATACTGCCTCTTCTTTATGCATCCATCTGTTGATGGATAGTTAGGCCATTTCCATCTCTTGACTGTTGTAAAGGATGTGTCTATGAACACGAGGGTGCTGATCCTTCCAGATCCTGATTTCAATCTTTTTGGATATGTACTCAGAAGTGGGATTGCTGGCTCATATGGTAATTCTAAAAATGCATAGGTTATTCTAGAAATTTTGACTCCCAGAGTCAGGTATGAGCCACTAGATTTTGCTACACCCACCTCCTGATTGCACAATGGACAATGGGCAGAGACTTGGGCCAACATGATCTTCTGCCTCTGGAACAGGACACTCAATCTGACGGCAACATTACTAGGAACACAGGTCCAGATTGCTGGAAGCAAGTTTCCAGATGGCTATTCAGTCTGTCTGAGGAGCCTAGAAAAATACACATTCCCAGGACGGGTTCCAAGCATACTGACTGCGAATATCCAAGGAAGGGCCCTAGAATCTGTATTTTGTGAATCTCTTGGTCAGTTCTGGAACTCTGTCAAATTTGGAAAGAACAGAAAAGGGCAAATGTATGAATTTCTGACTTGAAGTCTCCCATCACCCCAAAGACTCCAGCGGTCCTTGGGTTCCAGGAGACATCTATCTTGACATCTTCTGATGAGTCTGCCTCCTGATGGCTGCAGCTGGTTTAATCCAGCTGGACTCCGATCTTCGGTTTCAGTTAAAAGAACATGAAAGTCTACCGCCCGGAACTGCTGCCTTGCGACTGTCCTCCATTGTGCATTCTGCGATCTTGGCTGCTGCTGTGTTGCGGCCGCCTCTCTGCAGAGGATTTCCCATGCTTGGACATTGTACGTAGAAGAAAAGGAGTCCATAAGAACAAGAGAGCTGGCCTGTGAGTTTCCACTTCTAAATGCTGCAGGAATGTGTTCACTGTGAGAGGTATGACCGCAGGTCCTGGCGCCAGGTCAAGGTCTTGCAGGCCATCGGTCTCTCTAGGAGGCTCCTGGGGCAGCTAGTGGCTATGGGCCTATGGTTCCACAGAAGTTTCCACAATGCATGATGAAAAGTCCTACAGCTACTCTGTCATTTCACATATGTGATTTCGGAGCACTTGAAATGGGGCTAATGCAACTGAGGAACTGGATATTTTATTTTGATTAATTTAACTTTCAATAACCATATGTGGAAATGGCTAGAGTAGAGTATTAGAGCGCCGTTTTGATACTTTACCTATTGCTTATGCAAGGCAGGAAACAGCAGCTTAGTTTTACTGATGAGAAAAATGATACTCAGAGAGGGGAAATGACATCTCTGAGGTCACAGAGTGGACAAGGTGAAAATTCAAACCCAAGTTCAATCCATGATTGAATAACTGCCCCCTTCCCCCCACACACACACACTGTGTGTGAGATGTTGATAGGGAATAAAATTAAACTGAACATCCCATCTCTGAGGCATCAACTCTGTTTTAGTTACAAAGCCAAAACAAAAAGGAAAGCCACAAAGCAGGACACACACTATCAATTCCGCCTGGCCATGTAGACCATCCAGCCCGCGGGCTTGGCTTTCTCCCCCAGGCGTCCTGGCTCTACACGGCCTTGTGGTGGAGTGTGTTTTATTGCATGCCGAAAACTCCAAGATAGCTTGGCCTCCAAGAACAAAAGCGACTGTGGGGTGAAGAGGGAAGGGGGCCAAGAGGCTGTCCCTCCATCTCCTGAGGTGGACATCCCATCACGCGCAATGCTGCACTCAGGCCTTTACATAAGGCCAGATGAGCTGGGAAGCCACCCCCGCCGCCCCGCCTGCTCCCAGCGCCCAGAGAAAACTCCATTTCTAACAGTTACGGTCATCCATTTAAATCACATTACCCTGTAAGTGGATATACAAATTGTCAGCCCTAATGAAATTTAGGAGGAAGCAGTGGGAGAGGTGAAAACACTTAGAACTGGTTTCTTGGTTTTTGAGACCCAAATTCAAGCGGTTAAAGCTGCTCCTTGAAGACAGCCTTGGAGTGTGGTTCCCCGCCAGCCCCTGGGGGTCCCCTGGGATGTCACAGTTGAGTGTTCAACCTCAGGCACCCTGGGATGGGCCAAGAGGTAGACTTCGGTGCAGACACAGTGCTCCTGGAGGCAGGACAGAGTCCTCCTCGTTTCTGCACCTCGAAAGAATCCTGGCACAGAGAGACATTAGGGAAATGTGGAATGAGAGAATAAAAGCACACGGCCCCCATGCACAGTCTGAATCAAGAAAGTCAGAAGAGGCCCCAGGAAGGGGAATTCACCTCGATGCCAGAAATCCCTCTGTAAAGACTGCTGGGGGAGGAGGGAAGACAGTGAGAATTGCCCACTTGCACTCTGTTCCCTCAGAAAAAGCAGACTCCTGAGACAGAGTGCTGGGCAGCAGACTGGATTAACTAATGAATTATCTGCCACTAAATAATTTACTGGACTTCTTTCTCCAGGGCAGGACACGAGGGCTTTCGGATTAAGATAATAATATAATAGCTTCCATTTATGGAGTGGTTACCAGCTGCCTGTCACTGCACAAACACTTTCCCTTGTTATCCTCACAAAACCCCTGCACAGTGGGTATGGTTGGCCCCTTTTACGGATGAGGAAATGAAAGCTCAGAAAGGTCCAGAAGCATACCCTGATTGCGCAGGTGTTTCTGATCTCAAGCTCATAGTTTTCCTAGCCTGGCCCCGTAACCGTGTTGGATGGAGCAGGATGTGGTGGGCGTGCAGGAGTATACAATGATGCTGTCTCACATTTGCTATTGTGCGACCAAAGTCACGGGGGCTGGGTTCCCTTTACATGCCTTTTATTCCCAAATGTGAGCAGACCATGTGTAAGGGCAGGCATGGTCACTGAGCAGGTTTTCTGATCCAGCAGACTGGGTAAAGGAGGAATCAGAGTCCTCAGTGGTTTCTTGCAGGTCTTTTATTGGGATTACCAGGTACATGGCAGGCAGAGGCACTGGGAGGGCTGCCAGCCTCCCAGCCCCCAGCAAGTCTTTACTCTTTCTGGGTTCTCCAGCGTTCTCTCTGCTTCTCTGCTCTTGCCTTCTCTTTCAGCTTCTTTCTCTGCTTCTGCTGGCGTCCCCCTGATGCCGCCCTTAAAAGCCCAGTCTCAGCCCAGGTGAATCCCATCTACCTATGCCCACACCCTACTCCAGATGCCCGCCATCAGGCCTGCATTCAGGACTGTAAGGATCCATCATCTATCCTGATGGCGGGAGGGCAGAAAAGCCTGACATTTTTCCTTACCCTACACCATGGCTTACAGTCTTCTTACCACCTCAATATAGCATTGACTTCCTGGGACATAATATTGCTGAAGGAAAACAAATTCAGCCCTGTGAACCCTCCAAACCATCATGCACACATTAGGGAATGAGGCCCAGAGAAAGTTAGGGATTTTCCCAAAGTCACACGGCCACTAGGGAGCCAGCGTGAGACCAGAGTCTAGGCAGTGAAAGGTCTGTTGGGCCAGAAGTGCAGCCAGGACCACCATTCATCAAGCCCTGCCCCCAGCGCAGAGGGACCTTGGTTCGACACTCCCTGGCATTCTCCAACAGCACAAACTCGAGAAGATCAAAGGAGGAACTCAGAAGTGGCCTCATCTCAAAAACTAGGACAAATGACCTCAGTCAGGAATGAAATGGAGGTTTCTAGTATTTCGAGTCTTCCCTTTTTCTTTCCCACAGCCCTGAGGCGTTCTCATCTCCTGGAGAAAAAGCAAGGCCTCCGTGATCAGAAAAACCTGGCTTTGCTTCTCACTAGCTCTGTGTAATTGGGGAAAGATACCCAATCTTCTAGGCCTTCTCTGTCTTCTGTAAAATGGGGAAAGTAGCCCTTCTTTTTGTCAGAGGCTATGAGATCAAATAAAGTAGTATAATTAAAAATACCCCCCACAAACCCAACGAAATACTCATGTAAGTGTTTAATAAATGGGAGCAGTTCTAATAAATATGTTGTGAGTTGCATGGGGCTTACTTACTGTTTCAACCTTAGAGGTGAGGGAACGGAGGCCAGAGGGAGCTCAGTGATTTGCCCAAGGAGCACAGCTTGCTGTATCCACGAAAGTGATGTGGGGAATGGTGAAGGGGATGCCTAGGAGTCAGGGTCAGCTCTTTTCAATCCCAAATCATCCTCTGTAAAGAAAAGATAAGCACCCAGCTGGTTAGCCTCATCGGCCTCTCCTAAGCCTTGAAAAAGCATTTCATGGAATTTCCCAAGGACAAGGAGGAAGTGGCATGGCTGAGTCAAGTCCTGAGTCAAGTTCTTACTCCCTACCTCTGCTTGCCCAGCCTGAGCCTGATCAAGAAACTTCAGAAGCCCCCTCCCAGTGCCTCAAAGGCAGCCCCCTGCCTCAAAGGAACCAGGAAGGCCCGCGACTCATTGAAAGCTAGTGATGAGAATGTGGCTGTTTGCTCCCCATGCAGCGATCCCCACCATCACTGTCATTATCCCCACTACCTGCTGAGTGCTTGCTCTGCACACAACAGGCCAACCTCACCATTACCCACAACCTCAGCCTGACACTACATATCCATACCGTAGCCTCACATTACGTGAGTGTCGTGGCAGGAAGGACACAGGGCAGGTTTTCTGATCCAGCAGACCCAGTAAAGGAGGAGTCAGAGTCCTCAGTGGTTTTGCAGGTCTTTTATTGGGATTTACCCGGTATACAGCAGACAGGGGTTCTGGGGGGCCGGGAGGCTGGCAGTCCTCCCAGCCCCCAGCAAATCCTCACTCTATCTGGGCTCTCCTGCGTTTTCTCGGCTTCTGCTTCTCTTGCTTCTCTCTCGGCTTCTCTTTCAGCTTCCGTTCGTTCTTGGCTTCTACTGGCGTCCCCGTGACGCCGCCCTTAAAAGCCCAGTCAGCCCAGGTGAATCCCATCTACCTCTGCCCACACCCTACTCCAGGTGCCCGCCATCAGGCATGCATTCAGGACCGCAAGGATCCATCATCTGTCCTGATGGCGGGAGGGCAGAAAAGCCTGACATTTTTCCTTACCCTACAGTGAGGATAGCGAAGGAGCTCGGAGAAGGTAAATAACTGACCAAAAGACACAGCTAATAAAAGCAAAGCTTCATGCTGGGCTTTCTTGACTACGACTTTTTTGTCAGAGGGTCCCCTTCTTTCAGTATGTCTCACAGTCACACACTGGACCTTGACCCACAGAGAACACTGTTGGCAAAAATGCTGCAGCACTTCTCCCATCCTGTGCAAATCTCCTTTGCAAAGAGGCTTAGCTACTCCTGTTGTGGGGAAGTGGAGTTGTTTCTCTACGCTTTTGAATCTCGGCTGTCCTTGGCTTAACTTTGACGAGTTGAATGCAGTGCAGTTTCCAACTCCAGGCTTCAAGAGGCCTAGAAGCTTCCATTCTCACCTTCATGGAATGGGGCACCATGATGTGGAAGAAGCTAGGTTGATCTCCCTAGAGATGAAAGATCCCATGGAAAGGAAGACCAGCTGGAATCAGCTGCTGCCTGGTCAGTGAGGCCATGTCAGCTCATCCAGCCCTAGTTAGACTGTCAGGCCCCACGTACAAGCCACAGAGAAACCATCCAGTGACCCAGCCCAAACAGTTGACCCATAGCCTCATAAGCAAAGATAATAGTTACTGTTTTAAGTCACTAAGCTTTGGTATGAGTATAATCTGTTATTCAGCTGCAGATAACTGCTAAGGTGAGTGCTAAATTCCTCTGAGCCTCGATTTCCTCATCTATAGAATGGGGGTAATATTCACACCTGTACCTGACAAGCTTATGATGGAGATTGAATGAGTTGAAGCCTGGAATGCAGAGCTCTGTGTCTGCCATGGAGTTCACAGGAGCAAGGGGGTTGCCATCAGTGCCAGCAGCTTTGGTTGGAGCTTCCAAGTTAAGTGACAGGAAGTGAGACTTCGGTGGGAAGGGGAAGTGTGTGTAGAGGGCATCCCTGGGCAAGAGTGTGGTAGAACTTATAGCAGATCACACTGGTGGAGCCGAGGTAGGCAAGTGTCTGCCTACATATGTGTCAGTTACATGGATCTCAGGCCATCATGAGTTGGGCTGGGAGCCCAGGATTGCAGGGATTTGAGCCAAAGCAATGCAACACCAAAAAAAATGTCTCTGAGATTATGGAGGCCTTGAGGGTCCAGGACCTAAGGAATGAAAGAGGCAAGTGTCTCCACAGGGTCATTAAATGTCAGTTCTGAGCATGTTCCCCCCTCTGTTGAATCTCCCCCCGGGCTCCCCATCCTCCTAAGACAGGCTTCTGGGTCCTGCCTGACGGCAGCCTGGGCTGTTGTGCACCCTGGCCTCATCCCCCACCATTTTCCTCCACCTTCACATCCCAGCATACCTCTGGACTCATGAATCCTGGGATGGATCACCTCCCACCTCTGGCCCTTTGCACAAGCTGTGCCCTCTTTCTTGAATGACCTTAGGTGCTCTTCCCACACTTACCCTGGGCCATCCCTACTTGTCTTTAAAAACTTTTCTAGGATGTTACTTTTGCTGGAAAGCAGCCTTGATTTCCCAAGTCTGGGTTTGACTCTTTTCTCTGGGGCCCCTGTGGTACCTTAGCCTACCTTGATCCGCTGTCATTGTGCCTACTGGCTACTCTGGTAGAACAGGGTCCAAGTGTGCCTTGCTTACCTCTGCAACCCCATCAGTTAAGTAAGTGCCCAGGACACAGTAGTGTTTATTAAATATTCCTTCAACCCCATCAGTTAAGTCAGTGCCCAGGACAAGTAGTGTTTATTAAATATTCCTTCCTAACATATAAGGGATAAAAGAATAGGGCCTCCCTGGTGGTGCAGGGGTTAAGTCTCAGCACTATCAAGCTATTGCCAACCATTGCAAGATGAGTTCGATCCCCAGCCAGGGAGCTGACCCACATGGCACAGCAGACTTCTCCTCTCTCACCCGCTGCTCCCTTCAGCAGTGTATTTCAGTAGATCTACCTATTTTACTCTTCACCCGTCTCTGGTAAATCCTCTTGCCCCCCTGCACACCCTAGTTCTTGTATGTATAAATAAATAAAATAAATCTTTAAAATAAATAAATAAATAAAGGATAAAACAATAAATGAGTTGAATGGGCCCTTAGAGATAAAACAAGGACAAAAAAGGAAATCAGAGGCTCAGAGACTCGCCCCAAATTATACAGGAGTTATGTCAGAAGTGGGATAAAGGGCCTCCCTGGTGGCGCAAGGGGTTAAGACACAACCTATGAAGCCACTATAGCCACTGCAGCATGAGTTCGATCCCTGGGCAGGGAGCTACCCACATGGCATAGCAGACCTCTCCTGCCTAGTCTGCTGCTCCCCTTAGCAGTATATTTCAGTCAGTCTGCCTGTTCTGCTCCCCACTCTGTCTCCGGTGAATCCTCTCACCTCCCACACCTCTGGCCTGTACCCCTTCTCTTGTATGCATAAATAAATAAATCTTAAAAAAAATAAGTGGGAAAAAGCCTCACCTTTGCTGAATGAGGCCTACTTTCCTAGATGACTGGGAGCTAATCCAGTTGACGGAGGGAGGAGCCCTCTTCGATAATGAATGTGGATGAGTCAGGACACGTCAAAGCTAGGGATAGAGTTCTCCAGCTGAAATGGCATGCTTCCCTGGTGCCCGTGTCTCCTTGGGGTACAACGTGAAAATGCAAGAGACCTTGTCAGTTAAGGAATCTTCTGCTTAGAGGAACCCCCACTGTGCCCAGGGATCCAGTGTGTCCCTGCTCCTGACCAGGGGAGCATGACGAGAACCAGGAGGGGCAAAGTGTTAGTGAGAACTAATTACTCTATCAAACTCCAGCACAACAGAGGCTTACTACAACAGAAATGCGTCATTTAGTCATATGACAGTTGAAAGAGTTTCTAGTCAGCTCCTTTCCTCCATTCGGTTTGTCAAGAACCCAGCCATTTCCGCACCATTTCTCCATCAACCCCTATCACACTAGAGTCTTCTGTTACCAGCTGGGAGGGGAAAGATGCAATGAAGAGCTCACTAGCTTCTCAGAAACCTGAGCTCCAAAATTAACACGCATCATTGCATTCACCTTCCACTGATAGAAACTAGCCTTTTGCCCATATCTGGATGCAAGTCTGGAAAACATATATAGTCTTTGATTAGGAAGACATTGTCCAATGTCACCTCCACATTGCTACAGAGAGAAAAAACATAGGGTTCTGTGGTCAGACTTCGCCTCTCCAAAATTGCATTTCTTTATCCATGATATGTCAGCAACAGTGTTATACTGAAGACTGCTGGAAATCTTACTTAAATGATTTAAGCAGCACTCTACCCCCTGTGCAGCCACAAAACTCTTGACCCCAGTGGACTGCATCTCCACTTGCCAGGGAGAGGGTGCTTAACACCAGTGCTCCCCAACCTACCTGGAGGAGAGGAGCAGGTGTCAGGTGAACAGAGTGCTGCCTTCCAAAGCTCTGGGCTCAGCAGCCAGCTGTTCTCCGCAGCTCTGTGATTGGTGCTGCCAATATGCTAATGGACACAGTCTCTCTCCGCAGAGCAGAATCCATCATTCATCATTTCTCAAACGTGTTTGCTGTGAACCTTTATGCTGAGCATCTCCTGAGTTTGTGAGTGATGTAATGCTCTTTATACATTTCATCTCAATAACAAAGGTGGGAGAACAGAAAATGTTCATTTAGCTAGAGAGGGGCGGCTGACTTTGTTTTTAATACTAATTTCCACTCTCACTAAGTGGTTACAAAATGTCAGACTTCGGAGGTGGCTTTTTGCAGGTTCTATCAGTCATTGAAACATCAAACCTAACTGGGTAGTTGCTTCTGTCCCATGTTCCAGCCGAGGTCAGTAAGAACAGAGAGAGAAGAAGAAGAAGAGTGGCAAGGCTGAAATCTGGGATTGGATATGTTTTTCACTCACTCACTAAATATTTATCAATTTCCTATGGTGTTCCAGACATGTCTTTACACCAAGAAAGTCTTCTTTTTTGTTTCACTTCTTTATTTTAACCTCACTGCTAGTTTATAAATATAGATCTTTTCCTTTTAGACCCATGGTTTTTCCACTGTGGTGATTCTGCACCCCGCACCCCCCCACTCCCAAGGGGTAATCAGCAATGTCTGGAGAATGTGGAGTGACAAACAGGAGGTGCTATGGGTGCTGAGAGGGCAGAGCCTGGGACACAGCTACCCCCCCCGACAGGGCACATGGCAGCCCCCCACAACAAAGAATTATCTAGCTCAAAATATCAAAGTGGTGAGGTTGACAAACTCAGACTTGTGGGGGGAACCCTGTTAAAAGCCACCACAGAGCGTGAGCCTGTAGGGCAGCTAAGTGACATCACAGCAGGTTCCCATGGCCCTGCATGTCTCCTAGAGCAATGGCTGCTCCATGCAGTGAACTGTGCCTCCAGGGCCCTGTGGCACCAAGTGTCCAGGTAAGCAGCTCTTTCCATTTTTAAGCCAGAAGTCCAAATTTGAATATAAAAAACACTCATCTTTTAATGTCTGCTGCTAATTTAAGTATTTTTAATGTTTTGCCTGTCAAGCAAAACACATTTGGGAATATAATATAGCTAGTGGGCAGCAGGTTTGCCACCTCCCCCAAACACTAAGGGGGTCTTCCTCACACTAAGCTAGGTGCTGATGAGTATATTAGATGATATCACCCAAGCTTCCAGGTTTAGTGTTCAGATTTCTCTGTCTTTCCTAGCATGACATTTAGTGAACATGACTATGTACTAGAAAACTGCTCTCAGTCCAAACATTTTAACTCATTTTACCTTTACAATAACCCCAAGATGTAGGTTGTAATGCTCTCTCTCATTTTAAAGACAAGGGCTCAGAGGTACAGAGAGGTTATGCAACTTCTCCAAGTTGGCACAGCAAATGGCAGTATCTGGGTTGGAAGATAGGCACTCTAGTTCCAGAGCCTGTATTATTAACTGCTAACCAGTGTTGACTATGGGAAGATGCTGCATCTCCATGCTCTATACCGGGAAATTTGCAAGACACTTCCCTGACTCATTGGTAAGCTAGGTAAGCTAACAGTGGTTACAAGGCTCTGTCCCTCCATCTGACACAGCATTTCTCAACTGGAGCAGGGGTGGCAACTCTGCTCCCTAGGGAACATTCTGCAATGTCTGCAGACATTTTCAGTTGTCACAAATGGGGGAAGAATGCTCCTAAACATTTCACAGGATAAATTCCACAACAAAAAAATTACCTATCTCCGAAGTCACTAGTACAGAGGCTGAGAACCCTGGAGGTAAACATCTGGCTTAGAGCCACTGCAATATGCAGTCAGTAGGATATTCCAGGAAATTCAATCTGACTACCTAGAACGTTATTTTATTACTCTCCTCAAATCATTCCACCTTCCTTCTCTTTTCCTGTAATTTCATCATGATCCTCTCTCGCTGTGCTAAATGTTTACGTGGAGTAATTATCTCCAAGCACAAATTTATACATCATTAGCAGTAGAACTAGTAAGAATTGTAAAGGTTAATACTAGCGAAAGAAATGAGCATTAAAATACAAAATAAATCCTTGAGATTTGATTATCACCTACATGCCTGATATGTGAATGCTTATTTGTCTGGATGCCCTAAGCCATAATCATGCTCCATACTCACATCCCATCAATCCTCAGTCGCCATGGACATCTCTGCTAAACACACACGACTCCGCCGATTTCATAAAATGATTTTAATAGAAAAGTACAAGATATGAACAAAAATAAATAATCTTTATCTCATTTCTAGCCCAGCAAATTGTACACTGCATATAAAACTGGTCTAAGATGCGATTTTCCTCATTCCTTTTTTTTGCTTTTGAAATACTGAGACAGCATTTTACTGTTCTAGATGAGAAGTGACACATTTGTTTCAAAAATCATACCAATCTTTAATCATTCTACATCCATTTTTTAAAGTTGGCTAACAAGATGATGTTTCACTAGAATAAAATATCCAATCATCAGATTTCAGTGTAGTTTATATGAAGAGGTAAATTATAAGACTCCTTTACTAAGTTTTAAATTCCTACATTGCTGATCATTACCTGCATTAAAATCCATTTCATCGTCTTATTTTCAAAATGTGGTATCGGGTTTTCATCATTCCATAGAGAGAGGGGAGACTAAAAAAACACTTCTTTAAAAAAAATAAATATTTTTAAAGTATAGTTTACAGTGATAATGCAGTATTTCAGATCTATGCCTTGGTTCATATTTGCATTATATATATGCTTCAAGTTACAAGTACCCTCTCTGTCGATCTCTCTACTGCCGTTATGGACCACTCCGTGTCTGGGGACTGTTTTGGCTAATGATCTCTTGGAATCGGGCAGTACCAGTCTCTTACGGGAGTACTTGTCCTCCTAGACTGTCATATTTGATAACCAAGTGGCTTGAGTAATGTTGTGCAAAAACAAATTGAAAATTGGTATTGGCAAAATCACGAGAAAAGGCTTTGGGTCGGCTACTAAAACCTATACGCTGCCGGTCTCAGGGGGTCAGTAACTCCAAGAACTAAACAGATAAACAGGACTAACAACAGTCTTCCTTTTACTTGAGCCCATAATTACTATTTTGAACACAGCTCTGTTTACTGCTGCCTATATATAATTTTTTTGTTAATTTTCCTGTATTGGGAAGATCTTGAAAGCACTCCAGATGAGAAGGAAAAAAATATGCTGACACTCCCAAATCAAGTATATGTTTTTGCAATAAAGAACACTGGTCAATATACAACTGAGGAAAAACTGAAACAGATGTGAGTCCTAGAACCACAAGCGTTTGAATTTGCCCAGAAATGCTATTTTAAACACTCTATATGTTGGTCTACTGTTTTTTTGTGGAATAATGCATTCTTGGCATCCTTAAAAGATTTCAATATGTTACAAGGTTATCCGGAAAGAAAAAAAGCAGAAGGTTAACATATCAATCTGCACAGGGTTGGCCAGATTTCGGTGTTCGCTTTCGGAAAGCACAAGAACTAGTATTAATTGCACTTAACACAACGGACCTTTAGTTTCCAAAGAGTTTTCATTCTCTGCAGACTGAGGCTTGCTTTTCATAAAAGTACTTTCAAAGGGGCATAGATATGCTCGATCCTTAGTAACTTCAACTAGAGAAGTGCAATAGTTGCGTGATAAACACAAATATACTTTTTTGGATTACAATTCTGGTCATGGATAAAAGCCTGGGTCTTTTTGGTTCCTCTCTGAGCTGTTACAATAGCAACACGCTCTAAAACAATTAAGTTACATGCATAATGCTAAAAGAATGTGAACAATCCTATAACCAGCTTTAAGCCATCTGCTTGATTTCTGGTTTTGAGGAACATATAGAGGAAAAGAGAATTCCCCTTTTGTTCCGTTACATATAGAAATCTTTTGAAGCTTCCAAATAGTTTGGTTTTGGTAAAGTTCTCCACTCTTCTATTATTCTGACATGTAGTTCCCCTAAACTATCCCTCATGGTTTCTCAAAAAAATCTCCACATGAAGTATCCAAAGGACAATTGAAACCACTTACCAATATACAAGTAATGTTTTATTTTATATTCTATCTTCCATTTGGCCTAAGCCTTTCAATGTTTGATTTTTTTTTTTAAACCAGTGAAATATACAAATCACACAAGAACAGAAATATGTACATTAAAAGTACAGAATAAAGGCCATAGAAGATAGACATAATATCTGAATGACAAGTAGAATATTTTACATTAAATAGTTTCTTTTAAAAACTAGGATTGTTAAACTCAACTCTCTTCATAAACACGAATCACTAAAAAGAAACAAAATCTGGTTTAGCAAATAAAAAAATTACTTCATGGTTTTTGTATAATAAAAACCAAAAAAGTGACATTTTAAACGAATTAGTGCTTTTTAATTTCAAGATCTTTGCTTGCAATTCACTGCAACCGAGGGGAAGTGAACATCCTGTGCAATAAATTAAGAGCCACAGCTGCTGAGGTGACACGAAGGCCACCAAGCCGGTGAGGGTTGCAGGGGAGGTGCAGCTTTCCAAATACGAAAGCCATGGTGTCTGAGATAAGGACACACTTGACGGCACTTTTTGGAAAGAGGTGTCCATGTTCGAAAAAATGTTAAACTAGCTCCATCTGTCGTGGGCTGGATTTTCCTCGGGGACTCAACAGGTCTCATAGGCACTGGTTTCCACTCTGCAAAATGAACTGAGAGCCTGCCAATGTTTCTGAGTTGGAATATTTCTTCATCTCCACGTCTGTGTGGAACAAGTAATGCCCTCTCCGCAAAGTGTACAAAGTGAAGGTCAGAGAGAAGGGGGTAGGGGGAGGGAAAGGAAATCTTCAAACCAATACGCATATCAATGGGTGAGACCTTTCAGGCCCTCAGAAACACAGTGCTTCTTGGGGCTACCATGTCAGGACCACCGCCCAAGCTCAAGTAGGACACCTTTTGGAAAAATCCCCACTGGATGGCAGACCACACTGCGCTAGACCAAGAAATAACCCCACAGTAAAGTGTAAATCTAAATCACTGGCTGCACTGAGATATAATTATATTTATATTTATATATATATATGTATATATATATATGTTATGTACAAAAAACTTTGAGATATCAGGCACCATTAAACCACATTTCCCCCCTTATAAATGCAACTGTTCAAGTATACTGGGAACAGTTTTAGGGTACACCTGCAGTATAATAGGGAAAGCTTGAGCGGATAGTCCAAACACAGGATCATTAACAGTGATATCTGCAACACCTCTGTGAACTCCATTAGCCAAGTAATGTCATTAAAACATAGAAAACTATTGCTCCTCAAAATAACAATTTAGAAAAAATAAAGTCCCTAAGTAGTGAACTGTTTTGCAAGTGGCGCTCCTAATGTTTCATTTCCTGTCCTACAATCAATCAAAGGGGACCCAATGGAGCTGCCCTTTTGGCAAAGGGGCCAGCATCCAGAGGGGCCTGGGGTCAAGTGGGAGGTGGATTTTACTTTTTCCCCTCAAAGAGGTGTTCTGCTCTGGTGCAGTGCTGACCTGCACACAATTATCTTGCTGTGTGGGCTGAGGATCTGTGAGTGGAATCCATGTATTATTTTCATTATTATCATTTATTAACCAAGTATCCCTAAGAAAATTACAGTCTATTTCCCTTTATTTTCAAGCCAACCACTCCGTCCCCTGGCCCCTCTCCAAACAAAAAGTCTAGCACCTAGAGTCATCTCGGGATCCTTTTCCAATCTGAAAACTTAATTCTTGTAACAACTTTAAATTGTTGTCTTAATAGAAGCATTTTTAAGTTCTTAAGAAGTTCTGGAGCCTTTTCTCCCTGCTCCCTAAGTATCAGTAGCTATTAGAATAGGATCATCTGCAGATGGAATGTTCCAGAAGAATGAGACACAGGATATACCTTCTACCTTCAGGGATATGAGGTTCCCACCCTTACATTTTTAAATGATTATTCTGATATTTCAGGTTGGCAGCCCCTGGGAAAAGGAGTGGGGGTTGGGGGGGGGGTCCTGTTTTCTCTTTTGTCTCTCAAGACCCTTCAACTTTCACCAGAATGTTTAAGATTCATTTCGGTCACAGAAGTTGAACTACATAGATCTGAACCCCCTCTTGCAGCTGGATGCTCCCTGTACCACGTGACGCCATAGTTCAGAAAAAGAAAACAAATCTCCTTTACCTTCTGGATGTGCACACAGCTAAGTTAGGGTATGGGTCAGGCTCCCCTCATCCTACACCATCAGAAGAAGTCTTGCCTTACCTTTTCAAAGATCCACAAAATAAATATTTTTCTTGGTTCCCACCCCCCATTATTGCCAAATAATAATTATAATATTAATAATAAACCACAGCGTTCTTAGATGGGAACAGAAAAAAAAATTAAAGGTTCCGGTTGCAATTCTTGGGAGAAAATAAAACAATATTAAAAAAAAAAAAAAACAGAAGCACTGTACTTTCTATAAATAAGTGGGTCCTGGGAGTTGGGCTGGGGGACAGGCAGGCGGCAGGGCGCCCACTATTTGCACACGAACTGGTCCACGATCTCTGTGCACTTCTTGCACTTGACATAGCAGCACCAGTGGAATTTGCAGTGGCAGCGCTCCGTCTGAACGGTCTTGAACTGGTCGTAGCCACGGCCGCAGCACATGAGCTCGCAGCCATCCATGCCCTCGGACGTCTTGTTGCACAGGCGGCCCTGCGTGCCCAGCGAGCCCGTGCTCTCATTGCGCACACAGTAGTCAGGGCTGGGGTCGATGTAGACCAGGTCCTGTGTGGTGGGCGAGTTGAAGCGGCTGTTAACCTGCACCAGCTTGCCCCGGCTGTTGAGCCGCATGGCGGCAGCGCTGTCATACTTCTCCTTCAGGGCGTCCCCCACCTTGCGAAAGTCAGCCAGCTGCAGCCAGCACGTCTTGAGGCTACAGGAGCCAGACACCCCGTGGCACTTGCAGGCCACGTCGGCCAGGTTGTACACCGTCTGCGGGGAAACACAGCCAGTCAGCACACACGCTCACGGAGAGGCACAGGCAGGAGCTAGGGGAACACAGCTCTTCACTTTCCAGGTGGAGCCCAGGCCACCAGCTAAACGAGGGGTCAAGTTATTTCCTTCTCATCCTCCACGACCAGAAACCTGGTGGTGTCATCTTTAAAAAGTCTACACAAAAGATATATTCTTAGCCCCTCAGTATTATTACATCATCATTTAAAAAAACCAAAAATGGTTTTTGAATGGGAACAGGAACAAAACATCATTCCGGTGCTTCTTCCTTGCAGGAAAACACCAGCACTAGCGGCAACTAATATGGCATAGACTCATGTCAAAGGCTGCACAATTCCTTACCTGTATCACCAGGCCTCATCCCCATAACCGTTTATGAGAAGTGCCAGGATCATCCCCATTTCACAGAGAAGGAAAGTGAGGCCCAGAAAAGTGAGTTAATTCTCTAAAAGCTGGGAAGAAGTTGTGTCTGAATTTGAATGCAGGCAGTTGGGTACAGAGTTCATGTTCAGGAACCATTCCAGGGACACCCAGCCAGTAAGTGACAGGGCTGGAGGCATCTTGCCCAGGTGAGATGAGGGTTCAAATCTTCACTCATTAATTATTGCTATTATTATTGCTTTTAGCAGGCACTGCCATAAGAAACCTTATACTCTATTTAATCTTCCCAGCAATGTTACAATGGGCTAGATTAGGTGAGAGCAATGTCATACACAGAGGAGGGTAAGTGGCCTGCAAGGCCAAACAACTAAAATGCAGGGTAACTCAGGAGTAACTCCTGTACTGCCCCTCTCCCCTACCACCAATGAAAGGACCCAGGCAGACATGGGTTCTGTCCTCACTCTGCCCCTGCATTCAAGCTACTGACCTCACAGCTCTGAGCTTCCATTTTCCACCAGTGAGGGGGACTGTGATAGTACCAAGCTCATAGCATTGTTAAAGGGCAAAATGAGGGGACACATGTGCAGAATGTGACAAGTAGGACACACTCAGTAATCTGGTCTTTCTCCAGGGTAATGAGGGCATGGCATATGGGCCTTGTTCCTGGGCCCTTGTCCAGTGACCTTGGCCTCCCGGTAGCAGTGCCCACAGGTCTGGCCCCACAGCACTGTGCCCAGCAGTATGGGAGGTGGCGGCTGCCTATTTATAGCCCTGACTGCCCACAGTTGCCATGCCAGTGACCCTCCAGTGTCGGCGTCATGCTGGTATGCTGTAGAGGGCCTGTCAAGAACCTGGAGGCTAGAGTGAGAAGGCTGCTTCCACCCAGAAGAGCTAGCTTCTTTCTCCAGAAATTACAAGGGGCTTTCTTAATAAGGAGGCCAAAGTATATTCCCTCAAAATAAAGAGTTTCAGCAACTCAGCTAGTTTGAGGAAGGGTTTTGCAAACGTATTTAACCTTTGCTTCTCCTTTGAAGAAAATAAAAAGCAAATGCCCCAAGGAGATTCTAATATAATTTCCTGGCATAGGGTCCAACTTCCCTCCCTACCCCCACTACCCTGGAGAAAAACTGTCATCTTCTATGTAACCTCATTCCTCAGGATCCAAGTTCACTACTCAAGTGGTAACAATGACCCTAAAAATCTCACTATTAAAAAATGCAGATGATCGGGCCTCCCTGGTGGCACAAGGGGTTAAACAACAGTTGCACTGTGAAGCAATCCACAGCCTCTGCAGCACGAGTTCGATCTCCGGCCGACCAGAGAGAAACCTACATGGCGCAGCAGACCTCTCCTGTCTCGCCCTCTGCTCCCCTCAGCAGTGTATTTCGGTCAGTCTGCCTGTTCTGTTCCCCACTCTCTGTCTCTGGTGAATCCTCTCACCCTCCCACACATCTGGACTGTACCCCGGCTCTTGTATAAATTAATAAATAAATCTTTACCAAAAAAAATGCAGATGATAAATGAATGTGTAATATTAAAAGTGGTTTTCCACCTCTCCAATTGGATATCTTTTGACCCTTTGGTCTGGGCTGCTATACCCATGATGATATCTCTATGTGAAGGAAGTCCAAGAAATCCCCAAAGATGGATGCACCCAACATGGGTGTGATGGGGCCCAGAAGAGTCAGTCTCATTTCTTTTGTGGAGACTGAGATACTGGGCACCCTGTGGGCACAAGTCCAATGAGGTGACCCTGATGAGAAAAGGAGGAAGGTTCTGTGGGCTCCAGAGAGAGAGAGGGAGCTGCCAGGGAGCTGCCACACTTGTTACATGGCTTCAGTTGACCACAGAGGGGAGAGAGCATGGGCCACACTGCAGGCACTGCAGCAATGGGGGGGGGGGGCTGAGAAGGAGAGACCACACTCCCTCTGGAGCAATCATCTGTCCCCTTAGGCAGCACAGGCAATATTCTGCAAAGTTTAGTCTAACCCTCAACACCCCCAAATGTTTCACATCAAATGTGAGAAGAAGCTAGGTTAGATGGAATTATCTAGATAATCTTTTACTTCTTTATGTCCTTTGCTTCATAACATTCAGCAATCAAGTTAGCATTTATTAAATACTACCGACACTAAACAGACCTTTGATTGAACCATGTAAAATTATTGGTCAGAAATAGTCAAGCTTTGGTAATTTCCTATGCTACACTCGACTATACGAGCGCAGCCTCAAGTGATAGTTAATGTCATGATCATTTAACATAAGTCGAAACTGAGGCTCAGATCTAGGAAAGCACAGACAGAACTGGATTTTACTCTAGATTTCTATCATTCCAAAACCTACAGCCCTTCACCCTGCAGCTGTGATGTAGGCATTTATTTAAGAAGTGCCTGGGCTTCTATCTGAATCCATCACTTTTTGCCGGTGGCATGGAGTGAGGTCCTCCAGGCCTCAGTTTTCCAATCTTTAAAATGAGGTTGTGTGACCAGAGGGTTCTGAGCCTCCTTCCAGTCCTCTGTATTTTGCTCTGTGATTATCTTTCCTTTTCCTCACCCCAAAATACAGAAGAGTGAAATCTCTGACCAGAAAGTTCCTGGCACCCACCTTGGATTCTGTGAAAAAATAATGGCCCTGGTTTTCAGTGCTGCCAAAGTTAAGAAAAGTTTTCACCCCTTCATTTTAAATCAGCCATAAAGTGCCATGTGTTTAACCACAGGAAAAAAAAAGGGTCTTTTTAACTATTGTGGAAAAGTTTTTCATATCCCCACCAGGAGAAAGAAAGTATGGAAGAGAGGGGCGCAGGAGGGTTCCCAAAGCTGCTCCTCTCCCTGCACTTCCGAGTGGCTCTCTCTTCCTCCAGAGTTACCACCAGTCGTCTGATGGTCATATAAAATTCCACATGACTAAAAGCGCTGGCGTTTTCCTAGAAAAGATCTTTTAAAAAACCCCAGAAACTTCAATCTTATAAGGCCTGCTGTCTAATGACATAAGGAAAGGCAAGGAGAAAGAAAGGCAGGTAAGTCCTGCCTGAAAGCTGGGTCGCCCCGGGTGTCCTCATCTGAGCACCTGCTGGGATAAATAACTCTCTCCATGTCCTGGGAAGAGGGAGAATGTTATTAAACATTTTTTTATTTCTGAGTCTGGCTGGGCAATTGCACTGAGGACAAATCTAAAAAGCGGAGGAAGGTCTTGCTCAGACAACTGCAGAAGCACCTGGGCTGCAGGGACTCAAGGGGGGCAGCCCAGAAGCCTCTCTGGACAGGAGAGGGGTGTGTGGAGAGAAACAGGGAGAGGCAGACGCTGACAGAATGGCGGAGACACAGGAACAGGAATGCACTGAGAGGGTGGCAGAGGGAGACACACAGAGCCCAGAGACCGGTGAGGGGGGTAAGAGCGAGGGGCTGACTGGGGGGTCTGCTGGGGCACTCACCCTGCGGCCGGCCTCGTTGTTGTGCAGGTTCATGAGGATGCGCGCGCTCTCATAGGAGCCCTTGGCGTGGATGCGCTCCCGCTCGCGAGCATCCACGAACTCCTTGGCGAAGCGGTAGCCATAGTCGATGTTGTCGCCGCAGCCGCCCCAGAGCCAGTCCCGCGGCAGGTCCTTGGGGCGCGCGGCGCGGCTGCAGCCACAAGTGGACAGCTCACCCTCGCGGCAGGCCCGGCTCATGGCGTTCACCACCCCGGCCGCGCTCACCGCGTACGTGAAGGCCGTCTCTCGGCTGCCTGCGGGCAAAGACGCGGGGTCACCGGGCTGCCTGCCCCGCAGGCTTCAGAGAGGGGCAGGGAGATGCCGACACCCGGACCCCCAAGGACAGCAGCCACCCCATGTGTTGCCCCTGGCAGCCCACTCCCCCAAGGGTATCCAGGAGTCCCCAGCCCCACCAAGACCGTGGCCAGGGGCCCACCCTGAGGACAAGCCAAGAGAAATGCCCCCAAACACACAAGAAGGAAGGAATGACAAGGGAATAGCAGGTCCTCCACCTCTCCATGCTGACATTTCAGAGCCTAAGGCAGGGGTGGTTAGCAGTGCTGGCTTGATATTTCTCCACCATGCTTTTGAAAATATTCAAAACTTGTTCCCAAAATGCACATGAAAGAGGTCATTGAAGGAAAACTCAGAGTTTAGGTAGATGTCCTTACACATATTTTGATATTTGGCATTATTTTCATTTTGAACTAGCGGTAGGGCAAGAGCATAGAATTTGCTAGGCTTAGAGTCTCTGGAAGTCTTAGGCTGGCAATGGACCCAGACACTACAACAGCCACCCTGGCAGTGGCCACACTAGCTTAAGCCTGGCTTCCCCTCCTCCTTTGGCAGTTGTAGCCTCTCCATCCCACTCCATCATGCAGTATGAAATAGCTGTCTCAGAACAAGGTTCTGGACCTTCCAGGGGCCCTTTCTAAACTAGTTTCTAGAGTTAGAAATAAAACTTGCCTCTTCCTAAATTCTGGGCTGATTGACCTGATACTTCCCATTCAAGAAGATAAGTATCCACTTTTAAAACAGCCTGCTGTTCCTCCACACCACTTCTGCAACTCCCTGACAGCTTTACTTCCAAGTGTTAGAATAACAGCAAGAAGGGGGAGAGCAGACTGTAAGAGGAATAAAGCCTTGTTCTTCTGAACACTTAAAAAGAATATACAAACCTGAAGGTTAGGGGGTTGTGTTTCTCCTTCCCTAAAACTTGTAAAGAACACCTCACTGTAAAACTGTGAAATAGGAGGCCTACTTTTAAGGAGAAAAATTGGAGACAGTTACAGACTACCTTTACCTCCACTCGCCCTTGGAGATATTTCTACAGGTGATAAGAAGACACTTTATAAAAAAAATGTGGTATGTACTATGAAAGAGAAAGGGTTAACAGCAGGCCCAGCTAGGCAGGATGAGGGGATCTCACTTTCCTCAACTATAAAATAAGGGTATTGAAATAGGGATGCCTAGGGGGGAAAAGGCCCCTTCTTGCACTGAAATCCCTGGACTAGAACTGGTTTCTCCTCTACTAGAGGCCTTGCTAACAATCTCTATTTTGGGTGGGGTGAGGGCAGCACCAGAAGAGCTGGCCACAGGACTTGGTCCCAGCCAGAGGCTCATTCTGCAGGGGATGGCGGCGCCAGCTCCAGGGTCCAGCCACAGCCGCTCTTGGACATCTCCCCTCTTCAACACCAGCCATTTGATTGCCTCTTGTGGCAATGGCAACGCTTGTGATTTATCACAGGCCTTCCCTCTCACGTTTAAAAAATGACTATCTTGAGAAGTGTGCTGGTGGTTGGCAGGAGGATCCAGAAAGTTCCAGTGGGGGTGTTATATCTATCAAGCTTGAATTAGAGACACAGAGAGCATCGGGGGAGTGGAGAGAAATGAGGAGAAGACAGATTCTAGGGAGTTACCAGAGGATTAACACTGATAATACAGAGAATGCCATGGCCCTGGATCCGAGACTTGTAGAATGAAGAGGCTGCAGCTAGAGGAATAGGAGATAAACAATTCTCTGGGGACAGAGGAAAACAAGACACTGTCCTTTGATTATACAAATCGTAAAAGGGCTTTTGTACAAGACACAATAATATTGCTTTTTTTTATAAGTATCTTTTGAGGATTTCCTTTTTTGCTCCAGAATACAAACCTGGTAGAACTTGCTAAGCTAACTGGTCACTGCAGGGAAAACATCAGTTTGCAAAGTGCTCTTTGGCTAATCGCCTGTGGATATAGTCATCCTGGATGGAACACTGCTGGTTCAGTTAGGGTTTCCCTCTCTGTGAAATCTGCTTCTATTCGGCTCCTCACACTCCTTAAAAATGGTGCCTTTCTAACATATCTTTTCACAGCGTGGAAACAAAGAAGAGACTAGACAAAAGCTGGAAGGAAAGGGTAGCGTGATGAAAAATGAGAATGTTTCCAAAATGAAGAGAGGGCCCTTCATGAGGCGATCGTACACAGTGCCTCCAAGGCAATTGGCACCCTAGAAAAATGAGTTGAGGAGGGGTTGGAGGTGGCAGCCTGAGTTTCTCAGACACTAGCCCCATCTCAGGGTCAGATTCTCACGGACAAAAAAATTCTCTCAATATCTCTAGAGTACTAAGGGATTTGGGGTGGGCGTGCGTGCACGCATACACCTTTTAGCATCAAAGGTATTTTAATTTTTCCCTTAGCTCATTCTTCTCAAACATATCCTTAATGAGAAAAAGGAAAGCTAAATAACTCTCCCACTATTGAGGCAGGGTCCATGTTTTTCCTTCTCTTCAGCTCTTTTTAAAGTAAATAAGGAAGAGAAGAGCCCCTTTGGTGTCCCAGCAAAAGCAACCACAAAGCCACCCAGCAGCAGCTTTCTGCTCACATACCAGGCACCTGGGGAACTCTGGGAAAGGGAGATGCAAGAGGTGCTGTCTTCTTCCTTGCACCTCAGATGACTGGCTGATAGTATCTTCAAGGGCTGCTGGTATCTCAGGAAAGCTGTCAAGAGGTTCCACTCCCACCCACTCTCCATCACCCCAGGCTGTGGTACCGCTCAGCAGAGGACCAGAGTATACTTGCAAGGGACAATTAAATATCGGCCTTTGGGCCAAGGGGTCTGTTTGTTTCCTGACAAAGCAGGCTCTTTGGCTCCTGGACTCTATTTTAAATAAATCTCCAACAAAATTCAAACTTATCAAATGATGGCTTAGTTAGAATATTTTAGTCCCAAACCAGCTACGTGTGAAGAGAAGAGGAAGATTTTAAATCAAAGCTGTATTCAAGTGCCTATACAGATAAACAGTTCCAACTGCTCTTCCTAATTCGTGGTTCCCATCAGAGATGTGTGATTTTGCTAACTCGTATACACATGAAGAACGTGGTCCTACAGTCTGAGGGGAAGGCAGTTAAGGGGAACACATAAGGCAAAGGTGAGGGAGGGAAACTGACAATATTATTTGGCCAAAAAAAGTTTGGCGTTTACTCACAAGATCAACATGCAGAATTAAATTTCCAGCACTCCCCCAGTTAACTACATAAGACAGCCCATATTCAGGGAAAATGCCTGTATTCCTGAAGCCTGACGCCTAGATTCAGATCCCAGTATATACATTAGCACATTTTAATCATTAACAGGAAGGACAAAGCCCTATGAAACTTTGCAGGCTGAGGCTGCAGAACTTTTTCCCATTCAATTAGAGGAACGGCTTCCAGTCCTGTATTATTTTAGTTTATGAAGCTGCTTGGCTGAAACATCCACTGACAACTCTTTTTTGTTCTCAATGAATGCACTTTTCAGGAGATTTTAAAAAGCATTTTATCCATCCGTGACGGATATTAAGCCAACTTTTTTATCTGCAGTCAGTATAAACAGTTAATTGCTTTGATAAATCGCTTCTTATTTTAAGAGTCACTGCAGTAATATTAATTATAAAGGCTTGTTTGCATGAAAATCAAGAGACCTAAAATATTCACACTAGAAAGCACACACAGGGCCACATCTGTCACATAGTGTCCTCTGCTATTAAGTCAAACCAGAGACAAACTGATTTCCCAAATGCTTTGCCTTTAGCCCAGCTTTAATGTTACCTCCTCCCTGAATGGAATACCAAGTTCAACAACATACATGAAATAAAGAATTAAACTGTGAGTGATACATTTTTTTTTATAAAGTTGAGATCTAAAGCATGTGCTTTTATACCAATTGCCAAAATCACAAATGTAAATTGGATCACTTCTAATTAAAATTCTTTCTGGGACTAAAAATAAAGCTTTTAACATATATATCTCTACTGCTCAGGAAATATCTACATTAGGAAAATTAAAACCTTATTCGCTTTCAACATATCCAGCATTCTGAAAGATGACAATTTTTAGTTTGATGCATGGTCCACTTGAATTGTGGCTTGAGTTAGGGAATGCCTACCAGTTAAAAGTTTTGAAGTTTAAAAGTATATAAAGGCTTCAACTTCCCTCATCTACCATTGAGAAACCAAAGTCACTGTTCTGCTGTTTTAAACAAAACGCTTTTTCAGAACAAAAAGAAAAGTGCAAGAAGAACAAAGGTGTCTTACATGTGCCCCTCTCGATTTGTTAAAGAAGTCTAAAACTTATAGTCAGGTGTGGGGTTAGGAAGCAACACAAGTAGCACCAATGACAAAATCCCCGCGTCATCACCTTGCTGGAGGTCCCCCCCTTATCAAGCTTCTAAGTAAGCACTGAAGACTTTTTCTGGGAGAAAAGTTTATACCCTTTTAAAGACACGCTAAATAGTTGCCTACCTATCTGCATAACCCTGCCAAAAACGGAGGTGTTATCCACGGTGCTGCAGTTCCATCTTCGATGGCGGAATTGATACTGGCATTCTTTGATGCCTGTCTTCGCACCTTCCCCGATGTACTGCATGTGGTCCTGATACAAGTGGCAGAGTTTCTTCTGTCCTTGAGAAAGTCCTGCCAGTTGGCTGCAGAGAGGCTGAGCTCCTATGATATATACTTCTGACATCTGAACAGGGTTATTCATACCTAGCGACCTAAAAAGGGAGGGGGGGAGATGTGCATTCAAGATTTACGTGAACTCTAGAGGTAGGCCCCATGAAAGCATGTCAGCAATACATAGTTTTAAGCACACAGATGCTTTTTCTCTCCTGCTTGTCCTCATGACAAAGTATGAGAAGGGCTTCATAAAACTTCTCTGTTTAAACTCCACTCAGAAAACGGAGGTATTGTGTACTCCCCACCCCGCCATCTGGCTCCTCAGTTAGTTTTCACTCCCTTCCTCGCCCCTCTGCCATACATTTGAACCAACATTTCCGAAATCCAGTCAGAATAGGGGGAAATGGCGGTTTCGGGGACGGGCCTCTGACATTAGAGAAAGTGACTCACTTTGCCCCACAAATTGGACTGATCTGCCTTGAAAAAATATGAACGCTGCAAGTAGACACAATTCGACACGGGTAGGAGATAGCAGTTCCTTTTGACTGATGGAAGAACAGAGGGACAAGTATACAGACTGAAGAAAATTCACCATGTTCTGGACATTTTAAAAGGGCTCCTTATGTGATTGTAAAGGACCCAAGACAAGGTATCCAGTGAACAGAAGTCATGTTTGACAGTCAGAAAAACGCCGTTCATTTACAGGGAAAAAAATATCCAGAACCCGTCAAAAATAATCCTCTGGATATATTGCAGTCTATCTACAAGGCCCCTGCTAGAAAGAAACCCTCGTTTAGGGATATTTGACTACTTCAAGTCAACCTTCTTTTGATCAAATTTCAAGCCCATATTCTTCCCCACTGGAAGGTTAGCTGTCTTACTTTAGAACTCTGTCTACTTCAGACCCTGAAGGTAAATAACCTCAAGTGACAGAAAATAAAAGTTGGAACCCTCTTTTACTACCTAAAGGTAGCAAAAAGTAAATTTTTACTGATTAGGCTTACAATCATCAGACAAGTGAACTGAAGTTCCCTTTTATAACATGATATACTACTAGCATACATCTGAACAAGGACCTCACAGAAAAAAAGTCTAGATTTATAGGTTCCAATTCCCTTTGGAGCTAAAGATAAGCTTTCCAATATTAGCAAATGAAAATAAAATTCTGATGGAAAGATATATATATATATATATATATATATATATATATATATCTGTACTAGAAAAAAGCACCCAAACTCACGACTCGGTTTTAAATCCTGCAGCATCATACAAATTACTTTTTAAAATAAAAAAAAATTACAAGAATATGCATAGAGAATGAACTTACCACCAAGAATTGGCTTCTATTACAACCTGGGCGAAGGAAAAAAATATGGCAAAAGCCATCAGGAAGAACTTGGAAGACATTGCACTTCTAGCCGTCCCCAAAGCAACTCCTGGGCTTAATATTCCAATCGACTTCTGGAGAGGGAAGAAAGGAGCAGATGTTTATTGCCTTCAGATAATTTTCAAGCATACAAGTTTAAACAACGGAAGCATCCGGGGTCTCTTAAGTTTACTGTTGATTGACTGCGCTTCTCTTCGGTGAGTTTTTTGATGGCAAGATATAGGCAGTTTCTTTTTCCAAATTAATCCACCCACGCAACCTCACCAGGAAATCTGATTTCGCTGGGATCCTGCGCGCGGGGCACGCCAGCGATTACAAACATGTCTCAATGCTGTTGAGTCAAAGCCCCGGTGCCAGGCGCTGCCTCCTTCCTGCTGGCGCGTCCCGCACCCCTCGCGCCCCTCTAGTTCGCGCAGAGTCCGTCCCTCCTCGGGAATTCACTCGGGAACCCGCCGCCACCCTCGTCCTCTCCCCGACCTGAGCGGAGCAACAAGTGGAGCCAGAATTAATTCCATGGGCGAGAGGATGGCGAAGGCGACTGAGGCGCGCCGCCGGCGGCTGCCGAGGAGGCGGGGTGGCCCGCGCGGGGGTGGGGGTGGGGGCAGGCCGCGGGAGGGAAGGGCCAGGGGTGGGGGGCGAGGCCCCCGGGAGCGGCGCGCGCGCGAGTGCCCAGCTGGGCAATGCAGCTTCGAATTAACATCTTGTGCTTCACCATCAGTTTACGGGCCGCTTTGGGGGAGGCCACTTCTAGAGAGGGAAGGGCAGCCTGGGTTTCCTGGGTCGGCCCCTTGGCTGGGTTGGAGAGGGACGAGGAGGCAGCGGACGCGGGGACTCAAAGGGGGGGGAGATTTGCTCCCCCAACCCAGGATAGAGGAAAACAGTGCCCCCCTCTCCTGACCGCGGCCTCCTCCGACTCAGAGTACTTCGGGAAGGGCTGGCATCTTCAAGAAAGAAAGGGATCTGGGGGTCCCGTTGTCCCGAGAGAGGATCCCTGGCTGGTCCTCCCCACAAAGCTCCCTTAAATCCTCATTTTTCACTCTCCCTCTGGCCCCCCACTCCTGGCAGCTGCCGCGGCGCGCGCGCGCAGGCACTCGGGGGACTCCGGTGTGTCCTTCGGTCCTAGTCTGGACGCGTCGGCCACTTGGCGCGCGCGGCATCCGGAGCCCGGCGCCGGGACGCGGCCACTCCACCCTCCAGCCCAAGTCACGCTCGGTTCGCTCCGTCCTGCGGGAGGGCGAGGCCAGAGGCGGCGCGCGGGGTCCTGCGGCCGGGCCGAGACGCGCGGGGTCCCGCGCCCGTGCCGAGCTCCTGGGCTGCAGGGCTGAGGGCCCCGGCGGCGACAGTGCGTGCGGTGAAGAATTTCGGGGGGCAGGGGGTTGGCCTTGCAAGCTTCCGCCGCCGTTCCTCGCCACTGGGGACTCCTCCACCTGTAGGCGGCGGCGGAGCGAGGCGGCGGAGGGCTCGGGTGGGAGGAGCGGGTTTCCAAATCCCCTTTCACATCTCTGATACGTGGGACTCGGCCCCGCCGCGCAGCCCGCAGTCCCGGAGGGAGCCCCTTCCGTGAGGAAGGAAAGGTGGGCCTCCACCAAACCCGGGGAGCGCCAGCGCCGCAAGGGACCTGAGGGGACCTCGGCTGTGGTGAAAAGGCACCGGGGCTCAGGAGAGTGCCCTGGGTTTCCCCGCCAACCGCCCGGGACTCCTGGGGGCTTCTCGGAGGCAGGGGAAGCGCTTCTGTGGTCCCTAGCGCCGGCCACCAGGGCTCTGCGCGGTGGCCCTGGCGTCCCCAAAACGCTTCCAAGCTGGGGGCGCAACCCGGAGAATGGAAACCTGGGGTTTCCCTGCCTGGGAGCGGAGGCTTGCTCTCCCTCCCCACCCCCGCCCGAAGTGTCAAGTTTCCTGCAGAAGGAGGGGGTGGGCAGCGGGGACTGCCTTCTCGCGGGGCCCTGGCTGCAAAGTGGACTCTCCCCGAGCGCGGAGAAGGCAGCGCGCGCGCACACACAACTACGCACTCACATTCATGTGTGTTCACACACTCACACTCGTGCACAATACTCGCGTCGGCGTGCTTCCGAGAGGGCCGCCGAGATTGCTGCTGGCCGCGCGCACTTTCCGAGCTTCCCGACGGGTGGGGCGCGCGGGGCGGGGCGCGGGCGGCGGAGAAATTGATAACAGATTTGGCGGATTACGGCGGATCTCTTTGTTAGAGGCGAAGCCACACAAACCGAACCTGCTCTCCCCCCGGACGACCACGGCGACAGCCCACCCTTTCCTAAAAGCGAGGCCAACCGGGAGTGGGTCTTTTCGCTCTGCTCCACTCGGGTCACCCGGGTGGCCGTAGGCCCGAGATGTCCCAAAGGGGATGCGGAGGGAGAGCCCCCTAAGTCGCGCCTCCACTTAACCCCGCAAGCTCGCCGGGAAACACCTTGGCCCTCTTCCTGCTGCAGTCCTCGTGCAACCCCGAAAAGGCCTCACCAGTTTGAAGGACTGAAAGAACCCACAGGGAACTCACTAATAAACATATCAAGTCTGTAGGGTACACATGCCGGCCTGTTTAAGAGATTTGGTTGAAAAGGAGGGGAAAAAAAAAAAAGTACGAAGTGAAACTTCTGAGACTGACACCGGGGCGACAACAAAAGCTCCCGGTAAAAGCTGAATTTACCAAAGCGTGGGGTGAATGTTTGGGAACACTTCCGAGCCCCGGAAAGCCGACTTCGTAAAGAATCCTGGAAATCTATTGTAGTGTAGTGTTCCCCAACATTCGGGCATTGCAGTGGTTCTGGAGGGGTGTGGTGGGGATTGTGTGTTCGGGCGTCTTTGCCTCCAGCCCCTCGTGCTCAACGTATTGGCTGCTTATTTTGTTTCTCCTCCCAAACCTTTGTATTGATTAAAGGGGTTCCTAGCTTTTTTTTTTTTTTTAATCAAATGGGATGCCGGTCACGGGTGATGAGAGGAGAGAGAGGTGAAAACACGCTGGTGAGAGGACTTTCAGGGGCCTCAGAAAGCACAAATGTGAGCACAAACCCCACAGCTCCCGAAGTCCTTAGCCTGCGGGCCCCTGTAGAGAAACTACACAAAGGCAGGGGGAAGACCCTGGAGCCCCCCATTACTGGTGCTATCTCGAGGATCTGGGCATCCCCCTTGGGTTCTTTGCATTCAGGTCCCCCTCAAGTTTCTGGAAACAGAAATGATAAGGGAGATGAATTCGGAGGAAGCCCATTTCACCTGGGCTTATGATGGTGAAAAAGATAGGAAAACGCCAAGAATCCCAGTTTTTGGTGGGAAATAAATTTGTTTTCCTCACTCCTCAACCAAGGAGTTGGAGACATTGGTGGGAGAAAAACTCAGCTGCAGCCAAAGCCGGGTCATCCTGCTCTGAGGGAAAACAGAGAGAAGTGGGAGATGCTGAAGGATGAACTGGTGCAGCCCATAGGAGCTCCCCTTTGCAGACGTAGACGAGTCTGCTCCCCCAGTGCCTCTAGCCTGGACCCAGGGAAACCAGGGCAGCCCCAAACTGCTGGTATGTGTCCACAGTGCTGGGGGGGAGTGCTGGAGATGGAGAAAGGTTGGAATGAGTCTTTGAGCCAAAATCAGTGCAAGGATAAGAGGAGCCTATGCCTGCCTAGGACTCAGAACAGATAGCAGGTCCAGGAGGTTCCTGGGGAAGACTGGACTGTCCTGTTCTGTTCCTCCCCTCATCCAGCCCCTGGGAAGGCGCTCTAGACCTCAAGACAACCCCCTCTCCCCAAACACACCCGAACATATCACTTACACCTTCTCACATAGGGTATCTAAGTCTCCTCTCTACACAGGCTCTCAACTTTGTCCAAAGGAAGAGTTGAGTGTCCTTGAAATGAGAAAATAAATTAAAGATCCCCTGGATCGTCTCTTTAGAGGTCGTTTCATCCCCTTTTAAAAGACAAAGAATCTGAAGCCCAGAGAGAGAAACCAACACTTTTCTCAACCCTATCTGGAGAGACAGAAAGAGAAAGAGACAGAGAGAGAGACAGAGAGACAGAAAGACAGTCACATTTGAGGCCTCCTAGGTTACAATCCAGTTGCTAAGACCAGCCTTAGAGAAGTATCAACCCTAAATGCACTCCTCATAGTCCCATTTGCTGAGTCGGATCCAAGATCCCTTCCGTACTGCGGTAGCCTCACAACACAGCTCGTCCTCCAGGGATGTCCCAGGGCCTCTACCCTGAGAACAGGACCTGCTGGTAGAGAAGGAAGAACTGATCCAGAGGTAGGAGGGAAAGGCTAGCGCGCCCGCCCCAAGGCTCCAAGGCGTCCTACCTCAAGGCAGCCAACAGGGGGCAGCCGGCACCGCACAGTGGAGAAGAAAAGGCAGCGGAAAGGACTAAGCTCTGAGCGCTCGGTGCTAACCCCTTGTGCACCGAAGCACCCAGACAGGGAATGCCAAGGCAAGGGACCCTTGGGCAGAGCATCCAGGCGAGAGTTCTCATATGTGGGGCCGGGCAGGAAAAAGGCTAGTATGTCCCAGCTCCGAAAACAACTTAACCTCGGCCCCCTATCCCTCTCGGACCCACACGAGGACACGGGTCCACAATTCGGACACACACACACCAATTCCAGGGCTTCTCCATCGTCTGTGGCTCTCAGCGTTGCCCCCCTTGGAACTCCCCTGGCAGAGGCTCTCTAGAAACTAAACCTAGGCATCTGGCTGGCTGCAGCTGTGAATGTTGGCGGGGGCAGGGGCTGAGGAGGTGCGATCCCGCTGCAGGCTCCAAGTGACTTGCAAACAACGAGTTGTCCATTTAAAGAAAGTGAGCGAAGAGAAGGGGCCCCATGCCAGACTGGGATTGGGAAGTAAAACAAGGCCGCGGGATGCCCAGGTTTTGTTGTTGTTTTTTAACTTTTTTTGGGGGGGGGGCGAGGGGCGTTGTTTGTGTTTCGAGAACATCTTCCAATTACAACTTTATTTTCTAGAAAACTAAAAATAGAAGAGGAAAATGGAAATAAGGATGGAACCTTGGAATAGAGAGAAAAGTTGTTTAGAAAAAGGCAAGTTAAATTGTAAGGAGAAATGTTAACTTTTCGTAAAAGTGAACTCTCGGTGACCCTCGGAGTGTGTGACTCGGCTTTAACATACAACTGACAATTAAAACAAACAAGAGTTCACAAACTGCCCCCCACCTCCAGCCCGTTCTCCCAACCCAGAGGCCCAAATGTTTCCAAAGGACAAGGCAGATTCCTTGCAGGGGGCCGGGGCGCACTCTTCCAGGGGACAGAATTACAGCCAGCATTCCCCACCCCCATCACCGCTGCAAAGTGCCTGAGCTCACCCAGTGGCGGCTAATAATGCTAATAACGCGACCCAGCTCCCCGCGCCGGGGTGCGCGCTGGCCCCCAGCCAGGCACTCTTAAAGGCACAAGGCCTTTCCCGGTCGACAGGAGTCTGTAACCTGGCCTCGGGCTGCAAAGGGCTGGGGGTGCACTCGTCTGGGGTTGTGGGCCTCTAGTTGCTTCTCCCAACCAATGAGTCCCCTTCCGCTCTCTGAGCCCGGGCCACACACCCTCTCCGTGCCCGCGCAGTGGGCGCTCGGTAAATATTTGTTGAATTGAATCATTATCCTGTTACTGAAATATACATAGTAAATTACACGCGAGGTTCTCGAGGCAAAGGGAAACTCGTCTGTGACCCACATTCAAGTCTTTCTGCCATAATTCTTCCCCATGTTTTCTCCAAAGTCGAAAAAGTTTGCAGAACGTTTGTTAGGACAAGAAGTGGTCTCCCGGGAGACACAAGCAGTGCGCCGTGGGCTGGAGGTCTAAGGGGTCAGGGTCCCTGCCAGCAGCAGGGGAGCTCCAGCCTCTCCAGGCGGTAGAAGAAATGGAGGGATAGGAAGAGGTGTGTGCCGGGGAGCCAGGAAAGGGGGGCGGTGGGGGGTTGCAGTGAACTTCCAAAAGGAAAAAAAAAAAGTATAGAAAAAAAAGTGGCGAGCGTCGCTGGCGCACTGAACACCTACCTTCATGGCGAGGGGGAGGGGGCGCGGGAGGAAGTCGCCACCCGACTGAGGGCAGCCGAGGAATCCGAGCGGAGCGACCAGGTTAAGGCTGGGGGGGCGATTCGGCGCTGAGTTGAGGGCTCCTCCGGGGCGCGTTGGGCAGACGCAGGGAATGCAAGCTAAAGTGGTCACTGGCTCCCGAATCCGGGCACCAGGGCCACACTAGGATGCTCCGGGGACTCCAGGAGGCGCAGAAGCCAGCCCGCCCGCGGCAGCGACAGGGTCGGGCCGGGGCGCTAGGAGGGAGCCGCGGGTCCGGCGAGAGCGCGCAGGCGACTGTTCCGCGGCGAGGCGCTCCCTCTCCAACGTCCATCAGCGACGGCGGTAATTAGGGCTTTCCAACCCCAAATGTGGGCGTGATTGTGCAAAAGACTTTACAACAAATAATAAAAAAAAATTCTTCACAAGAGGGTGAAAAAAATGCCCCACTACTCAACTCTGGCCCGGGGCAGGGAGCGGGGGGGGGGGGCGATCCTTGCGCCCAGGTGCCCCCAGTTCATTCACACCACGGATTCTGCAAACTCCGGCGGCTCACGCCTCCCGGTCTCCAGCTCCTCCTCTCCAAGTCTGTGGCTGAAACGTCTGCTTCCAGGCGCTGGTCCTGTGGCCGCGAGTGAGTGTGTGGACGTCTGTGTACACACACAGGCAACACCCAAACACACACACACATACACACACCCAAACACACACACACACGCGCGCACGCACGCACACTAGCTGTGGGGCCACAGAACAATCAGGCGTGCACGGCTTTTTCTCCGGGAGATGCCGCTGGAAACGCACAAGTCGCTCTCCGAGTTGCAAGAGGCAGCGCCAACTTTTGTCCTTTCATTTTAGGGTTTGGCAAAAGAGGGGCGCAGGACGGGTCAAAGTCGTTCCCGAGCGTTGTGCTGCGCGGTGGATTTAGGGGGCGAATGGCAGGGGAGCCACTAGCTCCCTTCTCCCGACCCCCTTCTTTCTCTCTTCGGGTTAATCCCCCTTGTCCCCGCCTTTCCAGGGCGCAGAGGCGCGAGGGCACCGCGGGCGAGGGGCCGGGCCGGGCGCGGGGCTTCGCGGAGGTCGTCGGGCTGCGGCGGTCCCCGGCGGGCACGGCTGCCCGGGCTGCCCGGTCCTCGCGGGGCGCCCGGGCCCGAGGGGCGGGAGCGCAAACAGGCGGGCGGCGGGCGGCCGGGGGCACCGTGGCGGCGGCCGGAGGAGCTCGCTCGGCCGCGGCCGCTCGGAACCGGACTCTGCGCGGCGGAGGCGGTGCCTGGGCGCTCCTGCAGCCTTCACGCGTCCTGCGCCCCGCGGACAGACCGCCCGGCCGGGGGACGCGTCCCCCACCCACCCCCGGCCCTCCTGGCCAGCTGCCTCACTCTCGCCCTCCCGCTCTCCGGGCTCCTCTGTCCCCGGGTGTTCTCATCGGGGGGAAAATTTTTTTTTTCAGTTGCAGAACCAAAGGCGACTGGAGAGAGAGAGAGGGAAGAGGAGGGGGCAGAGCGAAAAAACTCCACTTGGCCTGCGCGCATGCGTGGTGAGGCCGGCCTATGACAAACTCCGCAGGATTTTAAAGCCGTACCACGGGCTGGGGTGCAAGGGAGGCGGGATGCATTCCCTGCTCAAGCCCCCTGCGCTGGGCTCCCACCCCCTCCACCCCCGCAGGCATCTGCTGGAAAAGAGAGGGCCGCTCCGCAGCCGGCCGGCCGCCAGACTGTCTGCACTCCTTCCCAAACCGCTGACCCGCGGGAGGCTGAACCCCAACTTTTTCACCGATGGGCCCTTTGATCTGGCCTCTTCCAGGCCGCTCCCACTGGGGCTGCAAGGGGTGCTGCTGCTCGGGCACTGAGCACGGTCCAGACAGTTCCCCTATTCTTACCCCTGGGTGTGTGTGTGTGGGGGGGGGGTCGCTAAGCTGGGATGCTGGAGAAAAGGGTAGGTGTAGGTGCATACACCCTGCAGTGCCCCCAGGGCAGTAGATTAGTGGACTAGGGCGCATGGTGGAGTATCTAGCTACCACCCAGCATACCCAGGTGTGAGGCGCGGTCCTGTGGGGGCTGGATCTTGGCAGATGCCCTAGGTGAGAGAGAAGCCTGCGAAGTTTGGCAAAAAACGGGTTCCAGGGCACAACACACTTCCAGACACCTGTGGTTGGTGGAATCCTGGCAGGAGGATTTTGGTGCCCCCCACCTCAGGCACACCAGCGGGGCCACCGTCAAACTGTGCCTTACACTAGAGAGCAATTCTTGTTCTTAGTGCACAGCCCTCTCCAGGCATAGGAGGTGGAAGGGGCGTGTGTGTGTGTACAGACACACACACACACACACACACACACACACACACACAGAATTCCGAATTCCATTTCCCTTCCATCTGGCATGGACTTGACCTCAAGCAGCAAAATCTATAGCTTGGGTACTTCTGTCTCCTGGGCTGCAAGGTGTCCCATCCCAGATTTAACTACTCCTAGGAGCTAAGAAGAGGCTCAGGAATGTTGTCCCTCTCTTTGCTGTCCCTTCCTCGTCCTACTTTTATGCTGGCTGACTGGACCCTCCTCAGCCCTAGCCTTCTATTGCCCGGTGCATCAAAATGGTTGTGTGGCATTCTCAAAACCTGCAAGAGATGCCCCTCTGGCCTGAGATCTGCTCTAGGGACAGTAGGGTCTAAACAAGAGGGCTTTCTGCCTGGCCAGATGCTGCCTGGGCAGCTTCCCACTGCCCTTCCTTCTCTCCCACAGTGGCTGCAGCCAGGGATTCCTCTGGGCAGGAACCCCAGTGTTGTCCCTCATGAGGATTCCAAGGGCAGACCTAGTTCTTCTGCAGCAGCGGCACTGAAAAATGACGGGAAATGAGTTGGCTAAGAGTGGAGCTCCCAAAGGGTGCTGAAGCCACTCAGCACCTGAGTGTCTGGAGGCAGTACACATAGATTATCTTATTCCTAGGAGAATGGCCTTACACGGTGAATAGACTCCACCCATACAGCCAATCCAGGTATACTTGTTTTTGGTTATCTTTGGCTACCCAGCCACAAACCTTTTTAAAGATGATATATTCGGAATGATCTGGATAATTGCCTGATTTTCTCCCACTTTTCTTTGCTTGTGTAGATATAGGCACGGCCGTTTTATTTGCCCCTTTATTTTCTTTCCTGGAGGGGAAGGTTTTTCGTGGTGGTGAAGATTGCCCACTTCACCTGCTTCTTTCTAGCAGTGAAATCTTGGACAAACCATTAGCTTCGCAGTGCCTCGGAATTCTCTTCAACACATATACTTCACCACATTGGGGAAAAAAGCAGACAACCATCAGGAACACATGTGGTAGGGGCACAGTGAAAATGAAAGGGGTGACCTTGAAAATCAGAGAAGTGGGAAAAATGCCCAAAGATGGTCATGTGGTACTTGGCTGAGGTCAGGCACTTAATTGGTCCTCAAGAATGCTCTTCTACGAAAAGTACTTCTGAAGAGAGATTTTCAAATACTTTGGTTGGCAAAACTGGACCACACATGACAAGATCATCTATGGTTTTGATTTACCCCAGTTGGATTGACTATTCCTACTTTTCACTGAAGAAATATGAAAGACCTTGGGTTACTGGGTACTTCCCCAGACCTGACTGGCTCTGTTCGAAAATTAAATAATCATATGCTTCATTTTATCTTTCAGAAAAAATTCTAAAATTTCCAGCAAACCTATCAGACCCCAACGGTTTCAGATAAAGGATGATGGATTTTATCTGATGGTACTGATATGGTGAGCTGAGACTATATCCCATGGGGGTGCAATACACTCCACGATAGTGGAGATGTAAAGCCAGTGCCCAGAATTCAGTAAGTTCTCGGCACTTAGTAGGTGCTCACTAGTATTTGTTGAACTAACACATGAATGAGTGAATAGATGAAAAGTTTCTTTCTAGAAGAAGATGTCAAGTGGAACCAACTGGAAAGCCCCTTTGAGCCTTCAATCACGGGGTGAATGCTGGCAAGTCAGGCTCTGTTCTAACATCCTGTCCCATTCTGAGTGTTGATTTCCTTCAGGTGAGAGACTACCAGGCAGAAAGGGGGAAAGTGGGTGCCTCTCCATCTCCATCTTCCAAGGTTCCCCTAAGACAGGCCTCCAATTTGTGGAAGTCCACTTTTCCCCTTGCAAACTGTCTGTGCAAACGTTTGGGTGTGTGCACTCAAATTGAGTCATCTGCAAACACACTGGCAAGGCATCACCCTGCTTCACTCATTAAAAATGCTTTTGAGTCCGTGAAACAAATAAATCAATATTTTTGGCTGCTCTCCCAACAGGGTTATTTCACAAAACAGAGTGCAAGATAAAGAATTTATGAACGATCGCATCCTTGTGCCGCCTTCCCCAGTGGGAGAAAGCAGGGTCTGGGTTGTCATTCTGGGAAAATCTACCCTCCTTTTATGCCCAGCAAATAATATTTTATGGCCCTGAGTTTATGGCGGTGTTTTAATGATCCGCTGTAGAAAGCGGTTTTCTCTCCAGTCGCTAGAATTTGTCAAGAAGGGCTAGAGGCCATAAAAGAGGGATGGGCCCCAGGGACAAACAGGCTCCATCTTCTGAAATAAACTAATAAAGAGCCCCAAGATGTTTACTCCTCTACCTCAGAGTCAAGACCAGCCCCGCTGCCTGGCCTGGAGGGGCTGCGGATGGAGCATTAAACAGGACAAAGAGGCCGGAAGGGGTCGGGCCTGCTTAGCCACCACATGGCCATAGTCAAAGTAAACCCTCACTTAGCACTGCCCCTCCACTGGCCTGGGAGTGCAGAGGCTCCCTTGAGGTCACAGGCTACTTTTGGACATGGGGCTCACTCAAGAGGCTCCGAGAGAGGCCCAAGCTTTCCTTGCACTGGTCCTAGTCACCATGCCTGCTCCTAGCTTACAGTCCTCTTCATTTTTAGGGTCAGCAGTGCTTGGCAGGTGGGGGCCTGAGTGGATTCTTTGGTTTTTTGAGTTTTTTTGTTTTTAAAGGGACATCAGGATCAAACAAACCTGAGTCTGAATCCCAGTCCTGCCTCTTGCTGACTGGACTATAGGAGTCACTTCCTCTTCAAATCCCCAGCTTACTCACCTGAAAGTGAAGATAACTAAATATTGTAGCGTCATTTTTTTTAAGATTTATTTATTTATTTTATACAAGAACTGGGGTACAGGCCAGATGTGTAGGAGGGTGAGTGGATTCACCAGAGACAGAGTGGGGAACAAAACAGGCAGACTGACGAAATACACTGCTGAGGGGAGCAGCGGGTGAGACAGGAGAGGTCTGCTGTGCCATGTGGGACCCTCGCTGGCCTGGCCAGGATCAAACTGGCGCTGCAGAGACTTCGGACAGCCAGCGGACAGCTTCACAGCGTGGGGCTCCACCGCCTGCACCACCAGGGGAGATCCTATTGTAGCGTCATTTTAACAACTGAGATAATGCACAAATGGCCTTGGTTGGGCCTCTGCCCTGGCAACAACATCTGCGATTATTTCAACACTGGGAATGTCTGTCCCTGGGTCAGCAGTTAAAATCCTGAGACAAATGAGGAGCCCAAGAGAGGGTTCGAGAAGAGGAGAGAAATGTGGGATGTAATTATATAATTGTCTGCCTTGTCTGCATGACAAAATTCAATAAGGATGAGGCTAATAAATGTTGAGATGACAAGTAATGAATAATAATTGCTGGTAACATTTATTGAGTTCTTACTATGTGTTACATGCCAGCTCCTGTCTGAACTCTTCATATTCCTTGTGTGGTTTCGTCCTTACTACTTCACAAGACAGATGCTGTTATCATCTGCACTACATGGAGAAAAGGAAAGATTCAAAGAGTCACAATTTCTATAAAACCCAAGTCATTTTAGAACTCAAGTTTATGAGTTTGAATCCTTGTAATTTGACTCTAAATAAGAGGCTTAACCACTATATTTCATCTGCCCATAAATAAATATAAAACTATTTTTAATTAATTATTCTGACATCATTGTTAATTCTTGTACAGTATTTGATTTCCCCTCTCAGATGTAGTCCTTGTAGTTCTACCACCACCATAGCACCCATGATCCATCTCCC